TTTCCAATGAACAACCTACTGTGTTGTTCTCGAGCAATTGCTCTACCCATTTCTTGCACCAAATCATGCATCTCTATCCGTGCTTCTAACTTATCTTCCCACTTTTCGCAGGAATATGAAATTGATATGAGAGACCTATCAATAAGGTCATTGATTCCCGCTGCCCCAAAGAAACCACAACCATCTAACATTATTTCTACATAATTCCTCTTACGGCCTTTATGAAAACATGCTATATCAAGAAATATCTCCTTCTCATTGTCATCTAATCCATCGTAACTTACTCTCAATACTTCCTGGATTTCTCCGATTGGAACTCGTTTCACTTTTTTCCATTGAACTTCCCACTCTTGTTTGCTCTTGCAACGACGGAATGAGGACCCCATAACTTTAAGAGCTAATGGAATGCCCTTAATATAATCCACCACCACTCTTGACAACTCAGTGTAATCTGTTGTCAGAGACTTATTTCCAAAAGCATGCGAATGAAAGAGCTGAAGAGCTTCTTCGGCACCTAATCCCTCAACGCTGAATATCTTCGCAGGGTCAACTTTTTGCTCAAGTAGGCCTTTATCTCTAGCAGTTATAATGATTCGACTTCCTTGGCAAAACCGATCATCATCACCAACAAGAACTTCTAGTTGTTTTCGAGCATTCACATCATCAAGAACAATGAGCGCCTTTGTACGCCTGAGCCTATCTTGAATATGAGGTGGTATAGAAGGAGTCTTGATATTTACATCTTTATCCTTTAATAAATCACGAACAAGTGTATTTCGCAACTGATGTAGTCCATTCGTTTGTTCTGAGTCCCCCCTGACATTTGCAAGAAAACAAGTAGCTTCAAATTTAGAGGAGTGCCTGTGAAATACAGCATCAGCAAGGGTAGTCTTGCCAATACCGCCCATGCCCCAAATACCTACACAGCAAACACCTGGTGAATCCAAGCATAATAACGACTCAATTTTCTCAATTTTCTTTTCAATTCCAACCAGACCCTTTAAATCCCCTGACGATTTGCGATTCAATTTGGTCAAAACATCTTGAACAACTTCCTCAACAAAATCGGCCTCTGTCCTCCTGGCAAATATCATTACGAAAGACAAACAATAGTATGAGCACAGTATGATCAAATAATAAAAAGTAGAAATTGATACAAATCAGAGAGTTAGTTACCCTGTTTTGCTGGAATAATGAAACCCAGACATATTGGCTGCTTCCTCCAAAGCAGCCCTCCAGTTGGCCACCTCATCCCTATTGCGCTTGAGTGGACGATCTTCAAGTGCATAAGTTCCTTGCTGTTTTCGTACATGTGATGGATCTATGCGATAAAAAATGGGTATAACAATCATCTGTCCATAGCGTTTCTTGCATCCAAGTATATGCACAAGTTCTTTCAAACACCATGTGGAAGAAGCATAGTCTTTTGAGAAAATGACTATTGCAATTTTCGATTTCTCGATTGCTTCCAGAAGGGCAGGTCCAATGTCGTCTCCCTTCTCAAGTCTGTAATCTATGTAGGTCTCAATGTTCTTCCGACGTAAAGCCGCGTGAAGATGGCTGGTAAAAGTATCGCGTGTGTCTTCACCTCTGAAACTAAGAAACACATCGTACTTTTCTTGAAGGGAAGCAGAAGAAGAAGAGGAAGAAGAATCCATATCCCTATCCAAAACCTGCAAACCTGTCAAAACATGCATATATGCAAATAACGGTAGGTCCAAAAAATCTCCACAAATAAGTAAAAGAGAGCTAATAATTAAGTTAGAGTCAGTACCTCCAGATCAAGAAAGAAGCTGCAGAATAATAATCGCCTTATCAGCAAATATTAAGAAAGAAATAATAGTGTGATTATGAAGACATCTAGAAAGAAGTGGCAGAGCTTATAGCTATATCATGTTTTAGCAATCGTACTAAAAGCAGAACGAAAAAACAAAGGAAATTATGAAAAGAAAAACGAAAGTGCAGAGGAATTGTCCAAGCAGTCAAACTTTGAAGCCATCCAACTCTTTCTTGATCCTGACTAAGAAAAGCACTGACAAAACCCAGGAAATAATCAGAGATGGAAAAAGAGAAGTGAACGGTGGAAAAAAATTCAAACATTCACACGTTGAAAAAAGAAAAGGGCATATGGGATAATGGGAGCGGCAGTACAAACTTTTGCTTTTGAGGATAATAAAATAAAAATGTATCCTAGTTTTTTATTTAAAAAATGAGATGCAACACAATTGTACTAGTTCAGACATGACTACGCACACAAAGTAGCAAAACAATCCAGCAAAATCATCAAAGCTTGAAAAAAGGTAGAGAAAAAATAGCCCAAGCACTTTCCGCGAAGAAACTGTCATGCATCATGCATCATGCACGCATTTCAAACAAAAGAAAATGGTATATATAAATTACAATATCCGAGACGTGGACGACAAGCCATTGAAAGTGATCAACTAAACAATCGAAAAGAATTGGCAAAAAAATAAAAAAAACAATCGAAAAGAGAATTGGCAAAAAAATAAAAAAAAACAATCGAAAAGAATTGGCAGAAATAAAACCCACGCACATGGTGTTGCCTAAAATTGGGATTATCGCTGGAGTCTTTGTGCAAGTAATCACTTTAAACTTTAGCATGTTTGCCCAGCTTACTTTTAACAGTATTGACATTGAATTCAATGGAGCTCATTACATGGGTAGGAAAAGCCGAAGGGTTAAAACAAGAAAGACACCAAACTCAAAAGCATCCTTAGCCACACAAGGCTTGCAATAGCTTATATAAATTGGTGATAGGGACATAAGTTTAGGTGCATATTCCTAACTACTGGAGCTTTAAACTCTTTGCTTTATAATTTCAACATCTTGGGCATACAATAGGTAGATCTCACACTGTTCGAGCTTCAAAGTCGATAAGGATTCATCAGAAGAAGTTTGTACATAGAAGTCAACATAGGCCTTAGTAACAAGTTCGTAAAACGCAGGGGGCCCTTTCAGCTCCCTATAGAACTTCAAAGAAATTATACCACCACACAAACACCTCATGGGAATCTTCGAAACCGCTTGCATCCAAAAACTGATGATGCAAATTATGTTTTCATGGGTTTCACCATTTTTGGTTTTGAAGGTTTACTTACATTCTAACTTCAAATAACGTGCACGCCCTGTCTTCATATGCAACAACAAGAAATAAGCGAAACCCAAGATATTTGTACTAAACCAATCAGGAGGAAGCTTGATATTTATTGAAAATTGTTGTTGCTCAAATTGGTTAGGCCCAGATTGAGTCCAACTTAGTGATGAGGTGTGATGGATGATGAATGAAGGTGAGGACCTTAAGCATGTGTATAAAGACTTGGGCAAGCGATAAATGTAAAGAAGACAAGATATACGTGGTTCACCCTTAATGAATGGGCTACGTCCACGGAGAAGTATGTTCTCATTATAATAGTGTATGATTACATTTGTACATGGGGTTGGACCCGAATATAAAGATAACAAGTGAGATGCCCAAGTCAGGGATCTAGAAGAGAGTCCCCGGCCCTAGGGTCTAGCTCTAAGACCCGGATCCTCTTCTAAGTGGAGAGAGGAAGTCCCCTTTTCACATGGATACTATTCCCTATTTATAGGGAGGTGAAAGTGGGAGGTTTGTGTAGATTTCCGATGTGGGACTTTGCATAAGTCACTGTGGTGGTGACACGTGTCATGGTGTTGATGCTCTTGGTGCTAGTTGCTTTGATGCTGGATATGCTCGGTTGATTATGGTGTAGTAGGGCAGTCCCTAGTCCCCCAAGTTGGCAAGCTAGAAGTTGCGTTAACACTTGAAAGATATAATAAAAGCTGTGTGAGCCTTGGACCTGTTAGTAGCTGGGTACCTAGACTTTTGGCAAGGAGGCCGGGACTGAACCCTATGGGGCTGAGCTTCGGTAGAGGTCATGACCTTGAAGTTTTGGCAAGGGGGGGGCCTTGGGGAGCAAAATTTTGAAGAGCAAGGAGCTGGGCCATTGGAGTATACTTAGGTTCCTGACAAAGACCTTAGATAAAAAAGGCTGGGCCTTAATAGAGATTTCGGCAAAATTCCCCTTGGAGCTGGGCTTTGGCAAGGGACCCAAGTGCTTAAACGATTTGCAAGGGCTAGGCCCTTGGTGGGTTTCGGCAAGGAGGCCAAGACATTCTCAACCCCACCCCCTTTTTACTTTTTTTTTTTTTTGGTGGGCAGCTTGAGACCTTAAGTAAAGTTGGCATGGCCCTTGCCGTTCGGCAAGGGGCCAAAATGGGGCTGGGCAAAGTGCTGAGCTTCAGCAAGGCTTAGGAAAAATAAGATTTTAAGGGTTTGGGCCTCTGGGGCATGTCAGCAAGTTTAGCCTATCTTGAATAATAGCTGGGCTTGAGGTTTGGCTAGGAAGCTGCGTGAGTGGCTGAGTCACAAAGCTGGGTCACTGGGGCTGAGTCTGGTCTTGGCTTCGGCAATGAGAGAAACCCGTGAGCACATCACTTTGCTTGAGCGAATCCCTTGCCGTTCGGCAAGGGTACCATGCATTAGTTGGCTTGGCGTATGGCAAGAGGCTGGGACCATGGTGACCAAAGTTTGGGCTTTTGGCAAGAAGGCTGGGCCTTTGCCTTTGTGGGCTTTGGTAATAACTTCAGCAAGGTTGGAGAAGTAGTGAGCTGGGGTTTTTCGTAGGGGCTGGGCAGCATGATTTTCTTTACATAAGACGTGCCACTCGGCCAGGTCTATGCGAAAGGAAGCAAGGGGACTGTAGATGTTTTACGCAGCTCATGGTTCGGCAAGGGTAAGATTTTTTGAGGGGTGCCGTTTGGCAACTTATGTGAAGAGGAAGTTTCAAAGCCTCCCTCCCTTCGGCAGGTTTGGAACATGACCTGGATCTAGGCGTGTCTTTTGAGTCAACAACGGACCTGGCACCCGTTGAGTTTCAGTCCCCATTCTTCTTCCACCCAGCCCCTTTCTTGAATCTGGAGGTTGCTGGACCCTCTGAAATTTGGTGTTGTTGTGGTTGAAGCTTCGGTAGGAGGGGTGAAGCTGGGATATTGATAATTTTCTTGGAGCCGGACCATTGGAGTTTTGGAAGTGCACGGGTTTGGCCTTTGAGTGGGGCTGGGCTCTTGGAGCGGGTGTCTTGATCAAATCATGACTCCTCCGTTTTGTGCTGGTTCCAAGTCTTGAGCAGGGTCGGAGAATTGGAGCTTGGTGAAGCTGGGTTCGCAAGTGCTGAGAAGGTGAGTCCAAAGATTGGAGAAGAGGTGCAAGTCCCCTATTAGCTGTTCATGCCATCCAAAATTTGTTGGAGAAGAATATTAGAGCTGAAGAACCGTGAGCCCGTATACTTGGGTTCTTGAAGTCACCCTTACAACTTCGAACAGCCCTTGCCGTTCGGCAAGGGTGATTGCAGGTATTTTTTGGCAGCACGTTGCAGGTTCAGCAAGGTTCGGGCGTCGAGTCTACAGTGGGTTCAAACGAGGGTCTCGGAAATTCCTTCACGGCTCCTGCCGTTCGGTAGGGCATTTGCGGTGGTCCAGGTTGCCCCACCTGTTTTTCGTCAATTTGGATTGGGTGATTGGAGCTGGTCCTGTTTCGGTGGGTTTCATAGCTCGAGTTGGAGCTGGGAGCTAGCTTCGGTAGCCACAATTCAACCCTTGCCGAACGGCAAGGATTGATTGGAAACTGTGAGGGGCCCCTTGCGATGTCCTTGGGAAGTGAGATTTGTAAGCTGGGTCTCAGCAAGGCGTCGGCACTACACAGCTTCGGCAAGGATAGCTGGGCTCAGATTCGTTGCTTGGGAAAGTCTGGACAATAGTTCATTGTCGGCAGGCGTCGGGTTGATTTTCTGCTGGACTTGTCGTTCGGCAAGGTACCTAGTCCCGGTTTTTCGGCATGCTTGGTGGTGGCTGGTGGGAGCTTGGATATTTGGCACGGCACACAGCCCTTCGGCAGACTTGGTTGGTGGGTGTCTTGATCAATTTCTGCCGTGAGTTTGGGACTGAATTTTGGAGCTGATCCTTCGGCAAGGTGACTAAGTCCTCATGGTTTGTAGGTGTCGGCAAGACTTGGGGTCTGTTTCCTTCGGTGAGATCAAGCACTTTGTGAGTTTTTGAGCCTCCAAAAATTTATGCATGGAGCCTGCCGTTCGGCAGGTTCCTTTCGGCTTGGCTCTGGGCTTTCGAATAGAGCTGGGTGCCTTGTCTTGAGCATTTTGTTGGGCATCCTTGTAAAACCTTGGAGCCGTGACCGTGTGAGCCTTGGTTGTTTGGATTTTGAGCAGGGTGCTGAAAAGAAATTTGGACGCTAGGCTGCTGGATTGGAGTTGAGCTGGACCCGTGAGCTTGGCTATTTGAAATTCCGTAGGTTCTGGAACTAAGCCTTCGGCAAGTAGCTGTACGAGCTGGACCTCGGGGATTAGCTGGTTTTGGCAAAACTGAGCTGGGCTTTCCTTGTGACTTGGGTGTCTAGATCCGATTTCTGAGGTAAATTGCTGCCATTTTGGAGGCTTCCATTTTGTTGCTGCCCATCCCTTGCCGTTCGGCAAGTTGGCTAAGTCTCCATATTTTGTAGGTGTTGGCAAAGTAGCTGAGTCAGGATGATTTGCGTTGTGCTTGGCACTTGAGCCTTGTTTTTTGGGTGTCCAGAGAAAAACATAACTCCTCCGTTGTGAGCTCATTACAAGTGGGACTTGGCATTCTAGTTTCGGCAAGAGGGACCTGGGGTACCTCCCGCTTTGGCACGGAGACGTGGCTGCTGGGCTTGCCTCAGTAAGGCTTCTAGTTTTGGAGGCCACCTGGGACAGTGAGTTGTCACCTCAAGGTCTAGGTTCGGAAAGGCCTGGGATTCTTCCA